GCTCGCTGTGGCCAGGCAGGGGCACCTGACTTATTTACCTGTCCCAGGTCTTACAAAAAGGTGGGCCTGGCAGCGCCCTCAGGTGTGGAAGGAACGCCTTGGGGAGGGGAAGGGCTTCATAGACCCAGGGAGCCCTGCCACCTGGTGGCACAGGTGGCGGGCGCGTGGCGGCGCGTCATGCTCTCACTCTACTGACCGATGTCCTCCAAGCTCTGCTGATGGAGCTGGAGACCAAGACAGAGAGGGTCCACATATCAGAGGCACAGGCACCTAAGGGCCACCTGAATCCACTCCGTCCTCTTTCTTGCTAAGAGACGCCCGTTTTGTCGGGGGGGGGGGGCATGTCCCCGGATTCCTCGCGGGTGGAGAGGCACCACGTGACACAGTCTGGCCAATGAGGGGGCAACAGCAGTCTGTGGGTGGGGCTTCTGGGAAAGGGGAGGAAAACGAGGGCCAGGAGGGCCGGTTCAGGAGCCCGTTCGCCCTCTTCCTGCCTGGAACGCAGACGCGACGTCGGAGGTAGCGCAAGCACCTAGGGCCATGAGGTAACCTGGAGGGAAGGGAGAGAGCTGTGGAAATCTTGGCAGCTGCCAAGGCTGCCTGGCTTTAGATTTCTCAGGCTCAGGGAAGAGCAAAGTCCCTGGTTGTTTACATCAAAGCAGGAGGGATTCTGCTACGTGGGGCTGAATCTCGAGATTTCCCTTCACACAGGAGCCCTTCACCGTCTTCTGAGAGTATCGAACATCTCAGGCAGCACGGGGGATTCCAGGGCCAACTTCCCCTTTTGTGGTTGCAAGGACGGTGGCAGGGAAGTCGCCCAAGGCCACCCGGCTGTTAACAGCAGAACTCCCTCTGCACCCTGTCCAGCCCTGAGCACTCTGTCACCTGATGCGGGGAGCCCTCTCCCCACCTGTAGAACTAACTCACCCCCTGCATCACTGGGTGAACAAGAGCTGTCGGGACCTCAGCCTCCTCATCTGTAAAATGGGCACAGGTTGGAATAAGAGAGTCTATAAAAGCCCTCCCACCTCTGACAGCCTAAAAAAAAAAAAACACACACACAGGCAATTTCACATTTTCTCCTCCATTTTGCTTCCCCTAAAAGTTCTATGCGGTAATTCCTCCCCATGATCTGCTCTCTGGGGTTACCTTGTATCCCCCATGTACAAAACTAAGGAGGGAGAGTTTTGATTGGAAACGTCCTAATTTTATTTTGCTTTTAATATTTTTTTACGTTTATTGATTTTTGAGAGACGGAGAGAGAGAGGAGAGAATCCCAAGGGGGCTCTGAGCTGTCAGCACAGAGCCCGATGCGGGGCTCGATCTCCCGAATTGTGAGATCATGACCTGAGCCGAGACCAAGAGTCAGACGCTTACCGGGCTGAGCCACCCAGGCGCCCTGAGAACGTCCTAGTTTTAAAATTTAAAAAAGGGGGGGGGGGTGGAGGCCAGAGTTGAGAGTTTGCTGAGGGGGGCTGGTATCAGGGACAAGGAGGTCAAACACGTATTTTTCACATGACAAATAGGATTGATTGGCAGCAGCTGCCTGGGTGGTTTCCAGAAGGACTGTGAGGTCTGTGCAGGATAGACAGAGGGAGGGGAACGGCTCGGTGATCAACTCTCAATGTCTGCCATGGATGCAGTAAGAGAAGTCCACGTATGTAGTGCTGGGGCTGTGCTGAGCTCACAGCTCAAGGCCTCGCCACCTCTCCGTGGTGCTGACCGGGCCTGGCGACCATCAGACTGGGTGACAGGAGCGGAGTCGGGGGAGGCCCGCTGGAGTGGCTGAGGTCCCACGAGAGAAAGAATTAGGGCACCGTCCTGGCTGGGCCAGGGATACGAGAGGCTCACTGGAGGTCTCCGTGCCACTGCCAGCGAGAGCCGCTCCAGTAACAGGTTTCAAAGGAAGCTGTGGGCACCTCAGGACGCGAAGGACCCCTCCCCCGCCCCCTCTGCCCCAGGCGCAGCCTCCCTCAGGGGGCTGCTCAGTTCCCCTGCTCCAGGGACTAACAGTGGGTGGGAGGTGGGGGAGGGCATGATTACCCTAATGCTTGGCCAAACTGATGCCTGGAATGTATGTTACCAAGCCGGAAAGCCTCCAGCGGGGAAGAGTGGGCTTCTCAGTTTGGTATCTCCAACCACAGACTTTTACCGTGACCCATGACTGCAGACGAGTAACTGTGCCGGTAACAGAAGTAACAATAAACACGCAGTGTTTGAGGGCTTGCGCGTCCCTGGCCTTAGCCCTGGGCCTCGCCGGAAACTTCTAGAAGCCCTCTCCAAGATGAAGCACCGCCCAAGGGACCACGCCTCCGTCCTGAGCCCAGGCCATCCGTTTCTCCTCCCGGCTCCTTCTGTCGTGCCTACGTCCTCTCCTCATCCTGCCACCCTGATCCTGACCCGCCCTTCCGCGCAGGTTGGCTCACAGCGGCACGGTGACCTCCAAGGGACGGCAAGGCACACGAGGACCACGTCCTCGGCTATCCCACTGCGTGCCCTACCAGCTTCGGTGACGGTGGGTCTGCCCCCTGCTCCGGGAGGGCAGATGGGCAAGGTCAAGAGCAAGGACTTCACTTGGTTTGGCATCTTCCCCTCCCTCCCCTGGGCTGTGAGCTCCTGGAGGGCGGGCCTGGGGCTTTATTCACCTGAATTCTCCAGCACGAGCCTGGAGCCTGGCACCGACGAGGGACTCGAGAACACCTGTTGCGTTGAGTTAAAGAGCGAAGCAGCACAGGGCATTTCTGCCCAGTTGGCCAGACAGAAAGCGACGGACACGGGCTCCTGAACGGCCATCGGGAGTGCCGTGCTAGCGGCCCTCCGTCCGTCTCTCCAAGGCCACAGCTGGCAGGCTCCCGGCCCCTCCTCGGCCCTGTCGCAAGAAACTGCACCCAACCCCCACCCTGTCCTCATCCTGCTTCTCTTTCGTCCCTCCCTGAGAGTCCAGCCCAAGGCACTTCTCAAGCTGCACCCCTCCCTTCTCCCAGCCTTTTCTGGCAGGGCTCTCCTGTCCTTCCAGAAAGAACACTGCATTTGGGGAAAGCAGCAGAGAGTTGGCCATTTTTGTCTTCTAAAGACTCAGAAAACATACCTAAAGGAAGATACAGCTGTTCTCTCCCCTCCCTTGTTCCTAGAGGCCACGGGACGCCCAACAAGAGGAAGGATATACTCCGAGAATAAAGAGCCGGCACTTAGATGAAATAAAATCCTACAAAGCGCAAACCTCCAGGCAGCTGCCCTTATTAGCACCATTATTTTCATTCTGTCTTTGGGGAGTGAAAACTTGGCCACGGGTCCTTGTCCTCGGATGAAAGTCGAGACCTATAAAGGTACAGCCTGACGCCCCTCCCTCCCTCCCTCCCTCGCTCCCTCTTGTAATTGTGGCGGAAGGCACAGAACGTGAAATTTACCATCTTAGCCACTTTTAAGTGTAACGTTTGGTGACGTCAGGTCTTCTGTCCCCTCCTGCCTTTGCCCCTCACTTGTCTTCTGTTCCTTCACCTGTTCCGTCCGCCCTCTCTAACCAGGGCAGCTTCACGGGCACATCCCCAAAGCTTCCGCAGGGCCGCTCAGCCTCCCCGGCTCAGGCTCCCGGAGAAGATTCGATCCCCTCCTAACCTCACCCTCGGGCAGCCTGAGCCGATCCTCCCCACTCTCCCCGCCACCCCCCGGCAGGGACAGACATCCTCGGACCCCTGGTCCCTGCTGCGGCCTGAAGCAAAGAAATCAGAGGTTGTGAGAGACAAGTGAGTCCCATCCAGCAGGATTCATCTCCTCTGTATCTGGGAGGGGGGTTGGGAGGGTCACCAAACACGCTCGCCTCTGGGGTTTTCCATGCAATGGGACAACCACAGCCGAGGCCCCCACCCTGTGCTGGGCACTGGGTTCACACTCGCGGCCGCCATGCCTGGACCTGGCAGGTGGACAGAGAAGGGCTCAGCCCCCAGACGGGCAGGAAGCCCCGCTTCCCTCTGCAGCGGGCAGTAACCGCTGTGAAGGTGTCCGGAGGGGACCCTTGTGACTGTGCCCCTGGGGCGACTGTTCCCAGAACCCAGGGCGAGAGCAGCAGCGAGGCCGATGTGGGAGCTGGCCCGTCCTGCCGAGCAGGGGGCACTTGAGATCCATCTGCAAAGGCCGCGCCCTGGCAGAGCCAACCTCAACCGCCCCCACCCCCCCTCCTCTCCCACCAGTGTGGGCTTGGCCCAGGGCAGACCTGAGTTCGAATCCCACCTCTGCGCGGGCAAGCGTCTCTGTCTTTAGGTCTCAGCCTGCCCATCTGGAGAATGGAGGTAAAGTTCATGCCTCACCCTGAGAGCTGTCGTGGGGGTTAAATCAAGTATGGCTTCTCCGGTGCCCACGCAGGGGCCGGGCACCCGCAAGCACCAAATGGAAGGCACTCTTGGTTTCGATGCCATTGTCCCCTCTGCTCCTCCCTGAGTCTCTGGGCCTCCTCTGGCATCGGCACCTGCACATCCCACCCCTCGTCTGGCTTCTTTAGAAACACCCTCGGGGCCCGTATGGGCCAGTCTGCAAGGAGGTCAGACTAAGAGGAAGGGCAGGGGCGGGAGGCAGCCGAGGAGGGCGACCAGCACCGCAATCATACCGTGTGCTCCTCTCTCCCCTCCTATTCCCCCCTCCCCCCCTCCCCCCTCCTCTTCCTCCTCCTCTTCCTTCTCTCCTCCCTTCTCCCTCTGCTCTCCCCTCCCATACCCCCCTCCTTCCTTCTCTCCCTCTCTTCTTCTGTCTCTTTCACACACACACACACACACACACACACACACACACACGAGCTGGTGGGCCAGGCCGTGATCTTCCCCCGTGTCTCCACGACTCTCACTCTGGGGCCGGAGGAAAAACAAACACACGCGGGTCCCACTGGGCACCTTTCTCACACGGCACTTTGAAGCTCTTTGTAGTTGTTGTGCAGGAAGCTAGAAAGTCCTACAAATCCTAACCGTCTGCATCCACTGTAAGCAGGAGAGATTCCACGTGAAAAGCACCAGTCCGTGGGCTATTTCACAACTGTATTTATATGAAAGTAATGAAAATACCCATCCTCTTTTTTAAAAAAGTGACGCAAACAAGCAGGCTCTAGGGCCTCGTTATCAAAAGTTAAAAAATACGTACAGACGTTCCCACCCCCCCACCCCCCCCAGCCTGCGTATTACAGTTTTTCTGCCCGGGGACGTGGGCTACACGCAGCACGGCTACCGACGCGACAGGTCACCCTACGGTGAGCCGGGGCTTCGGGGCGCCCGCCTCTCGCTGTGTGGTCTTGGGCAAGTTCCTCCCCTCTCGGGGCCTCGGCCTCCTCGCCCGCGAAGTGGGAGAGTCAGAGATGCTCGAAGGCCCGGCCACAGTCTGACCTTCCAGGCCGGACCCGCACGGCCCCGGGGAGCACCTGGGCTCGGCCACGTGACCCAACGCCTGGGTCCTCCAGCCCTGATTTTCCAGGACAGTGGTCGCCCGCGGGGACCCGTCTAGTGGCTCCGCCTCCTAGTATCTGGAGAAAAGTGTGCCTTCTGAGTGCGAACTTCTCCGCAGCTGCGTTTTTCCTGCCCCGGGAATGTCCAGCTTGGCCCAGTCCGGGGGGGGGGGGGGGGTGGGGGCCTGGGTTCTGCAGAGGGAGGGGCCGTGTTTGCCGGAGCGCTGGGGGGCGGGGCTTGGCGCCGGCAGTCAGGACCCTCCTGGGTCCTCCGTTTCCTTCTTTGCAGGGCCTTTCGGAGGCTGGACGCTTCAGGATCCCCTCTCGGTCTACTGCTTGTAGGTGAGCGGACAAAATCAGTTTGTAAAGAGGGGCCACTAGGCGTTTTCCAAAAGGAAACTTAGTGTTTTTGTTGATTTAAGGAAACTGCGATCCAGTTATAATGCGCACAGGAGGAAAGGACACGTTTCTGGCCTCAGGGCCCCGCATCCGGTCTGCGGGGGGGGGCCCCCCTCTCCTGGGGGCAGCCTCGTTCGGCTCCCCTCGTGAGGACACGTGTGGGACAGTCTCAGCCCAGAAGACCCACCTCCCTCCGAAGTCCGTTCTCCAGGGAGGAAGAGGCAGAGACCCCTAGACAGGCTGAGCTCCAACGCCCATCTCTCATCTCTGTCTGGGACCCTCGATCCCTGCTTCCTGGAGGGCCACATGCTCCCCCCCCCCCGCCCCGGACCCTTCAGCTCGAGTCGTAGACAGTGGAAAACAGCCCAAGAGGGACGGAAGGACACATTGCCCCGGCACAGCGTGCTCCCCATTCTGAATGAAGACCTTGGCAAGGCAGTTTCCCTCCTTCCCTTCTCCTTTCCCAGAACACAGTGAGCATGCTCTAACCGGACCTGCAGATCAGGGTCACAGCCACGGCCTTCTGCATTGCTCTGGGCCATCAGAGGCCAAGAGGTGGTGGGGCAGGGCGGGGGGGGGGGGGGGGCGCCCCCCCCCCCCCCCGCCCCTGCACAGGGTGCCCAAAATTCTGTGAGCTGGTATAGTCCTGGGTCCTGCTTGTCATCTTTCTTTTCCTTCAGGGATAGCACGCTATCACTCGTCACTTTTCGCTGCTGTCACCGGCCCTGTCTTCAAGCATCACCCTTACGCTTCTGACCCACGGCATCTAACCCGCTGTCATTTTGTTCTCACTGTGTCTAGAGCGAGAGCCACTGAGCTGAGTGAGGGCTGGTGTTGCTCCTCCGTGTTGACAGCTCAGGGGCCTCTCCACTAGCATCTGGGGTTGGGACATGGCTTCCCGCTAAGCAGTTGCCAGAAAAGTGACACGTTCCTGTTGTCGCTCCCCAGGGCGGGGGGGGGGGGGGGGGGGGCGCAGACCCAGGCAAAAATGCCACAAAATCCCGCAGGGCCCGCAAGCTGCTAGGAACCTTCCCACCCACAAATAGACGCCATACGTGAAACCATGCGGACTGAGCATATCTACACACAGAGGATATAAACATTCTATGCATCACTCCCTAGCCGCACGTAGGGCACCTTTAGGATAACTAGGCTAAGACGACACCATATAAAAAGTGGTTTTGTTTGGGGGGCATCAATGCAGTATTTACACCGAGGCAGCTGTGCCGGTCGCAGCCTGCCTCTGTTTCCAGTTTCCTGGGCGCCCTCGGAAGGAGCCCTGGGGCGGATGGAGGGCTGGAGGAGAGAGTCACCTGCGTGGCCCGGCGGGTTAGGTGGGCGGGGGGCCATCGTAGCGCAGCATGAACTTGAAGGAGCGGGCGAAGTTGTTGGCCAGCGTGCAGCTGCGGTTCTCTTCTCCGACCGGAAGCAGGAACAGCAGGAACAGCAGGAACAGCAGGAACAGCAGCTGCAAGGGGAGAGCCACACAGCACACCTTCCGGAAGAGGGGCCCGAGTCCTCGCCACCGCGGAGCCTGCGGAACCAAAGCAGGACTTGTGAGTGCGCTTGGGGGGGGGGGGGGCTCTGAGCGGGAGGGGAGGGCAAGCCGGCCGTGCCGGTCTCAGTCTTCCCGACTGTCAAGTGGGGCTAAGGTCGGTTTCGCCGGAAACCAAGGTATCTGGTTTGCTCAACCCATTCAAGGCAGGAAGGGTAGGGAAAAACACAGGGCTCCAGGCTTTGCCTGTTCTTACACAAATCCTTGCCTGGCGTGTGAGAGCCCCGGCTGGAAATCTTGAGAAGGTCACGCAAGTCCTCCAAAGCTCAAACTTCTCATCTCTAAACAGGGGGGAAACGGTACCTACCTGACAGGGTCTTTCTGAGGATTTACGGGAGATACAGCAGGCGCCCAAGGCTGCTGCCACGGTTAGTACGATCACTCACACGACCCCTACCTAAGTCAGGGTCATCACCACCGTGCTCTTCACCATCGCTCCCTCCTCCTCCTCTTTCTCCTCCACCCTCTTCACCATCCACGCCACCAGTATCACCCGAGGGCCAGACTCCCAGGTCCACATGCCTAGAGTCCACGGAAGTGGCCAAAGGCCATTTCCGAAATTCCAGAGGGACCGGTGAGGTGGTGGCTTCATGGGATGTCCTCACCGCCAAGGAGTGCAGGAGAGGAGAAAATCCGGAAAGGAGAGGCCCCCCCCCCCCCCACAACCCCGGCCAAAACACAACGTGGTGCAGGGCAGGGGCCTGACTGGGAGGAGCCAGGCTGACTAGGTCCCAGTGGAGACTCTGTCACACAGCATCTATGTGCCCTGGGGAGGGTCGATAACCTCTCTGAGCCTGTCTCCTTCTCTGATAAATGGGGATAGAACATCTGCTCCCGTCTGTGGCGAGGACTCTGCTGGGCGCACGGATTTCAGCAGGGACTCAGGAGCGGGGGGCCGTAAGTCACCTGAACAGCTGAGTGAGCCTAAGTTCCCACGGCCACTGGGCCGGGCCACACCTGGCTGATGCATGCTCCTGCCCACCTGCTTGGTTCGTGCGGGGCTGCCTCAGCCCGTGTGGACTCTAACTTGACTCCTTGACATTTCACACTGACGCCGCCTGATTCCAAATCTCTGACCCGTCCGGGAGAAAGAAAGAGCGACAACAAGAAGCTACAGGTTCACTCTAGCCTGGCTTGGCACCAAATTGAAAAGCTGTAATCAATGGTCTCGCAAACGGGGAATCTGTTTACAGGGTCCTTGTGTTTGCGCCTACATTCTCAGAGCTAACCCTTGGCTTACTGAAGCCAGGAGCAGTGTCTTGGCCACGATCCTCTGGGGAAAAGATCTCTGAAGGTCCAAAGCGTGTTTGCATTTACAAGTGTTGACGAGGGGGTGGTCTGTTTCAAAAGACTCCTGCTGCCTGCCCAGTGGCTGTTCATTTAGAGCTCACGTCTTCACTTGGAGGGACCTGAATTCTAAAATGCTCTTTGAAATAAAAGACACGTTTTAATACGACCCTCAAATGCTTAGAAAACACACACACACACACACACACACACACACACACACACACACAGAGGCATGAACTACCTTTCAAGAAGCCCACGAAGAAGTTGACAATCTCAGCTCTTCGCAGATCTGGGAGCTGCTCTGTGCCTCAGTTTGCCCACAGAAAGGACTACGTGTGTTCCACCCAGTTAAAACTATCCAAAGAGAGAAGGGGCTTCCTTGGGAAGCGATAAGCTCCTAATCCCTAAGGGTATGGAGGCAGAGGGTAGACAGCACATGCAGTGGGGTGGAAACAGGACACGTAATATTGGGTAACTAAATGCTTGGGGGTCCTTCGGGATCTCACACGAATCTGAGGCTCTAGGGTTTTGAGGAGTTCAGGCAAGATGAGTTTATCACGGTAAATGGGACCTGATTTTCTAGCATCTTCTGCCATTGATGGAAAGAAAGGTGACGTGAGGAAAAGAAAAGGTTTGGAGTCCTGGTTCTACCTTGGCTCTATGGCGTCCTAGCTGTGTGACCTAGGATAGGGCATTCAGCCTCTCTGAGCCTCGGTTCCTTCATCTGTCGGGGAAAAGAGGGAATGAAACCTGCCTACCGAGGTCATAAGGATAAATGAGGCAATGCACACTACGCTCAATAAATGCTCACTCCCTTCCTCCTCTAGCCGATGGATACAGGGGCAGACAGGCACGTCATTGAGCCCCACAAGCTCCCCCCTCCACCAGATGCCAGGGACCAGACACTAGCAATCTCCCCAGGCCCTTCGGAAGGAAAAGCACTGCCCTCCTTCAATGCCAGCTCTTGGCCCCTCCAAGGCCCTCACATCCTCCCGCCACTGGACCTTTGCACAGGCCATCCCTCTGTCTGAAATACTAATTTCTCTCCTTTCTCCAGTGCGCCTGGTTAACTCCTGCCAAACACTCTAATTTCAGCTTGTGAGTGGCTTCCTCGGGGGGACCTTCCCCGCCATAGACCAAAACAGCCCCGTTAACACATTTTCACAGCCCCAGTACCTTCCTCCGGATTACTGATTAACGTCTATGTTCCCCTTGACTCCTCGGAGGCGTGGTCCACATTAACTTTGCTCATTGCTGTATTCCCAATGGTGTCCCACAGGTATGTGCTGAGCGAAAGAAAGGGTCCTTCCCTGCCCGTGCCTCTGACCGTCTGCTCCCCGCCTTGGCGCCCAGGGTATAACCACACAGATGCTCGCTGACCGCTGCCTGTGGCTGTTCTCACTGTCTGGCTGTTCCACCAAACGCCCTGACCACAACGCCCAGGCCCAGATGTTGGTTCTCCTCCCTGCCCACGGCCTCCCTGTGCTCTGGCACAGCTCCGGGACGTGGGCTCCCTGCGTCCATTTCACCAAGGATCTTTCACGAGCATCGTCCGGTGCCCGGACTCCGCCCACCATCCTGCAGGGTGTTCTCACAAGAAACAACTCAGCAACAACACCGACAACGACAGTCACCCTGGGCCCGAGTTGTCAGTCAGCCTGGGCCTGTCGGATCTGGTCCCACCCTGACCTGGGGCCCCGTGTGTAGAAGTCACGCTGTGTCACCTCTGGGGCTTTCAGGGGCTTTCCTGGGAGCTGGCTGGGGCTCGTGTGCTGGGCCAGCACCCAGAGTGATGGGCGGGGGCCAGCTTTTCTCTGGCAATTCAAGATGGGCCAGTCCCCAGGCCGCCAGGAAGCCCTCCCTAGCCATTTGTGTAGTCCCTGAAGGTCCCTCTTAGGACCCTCTTGGACTGCAGCGCCCCGTGCTGGCTGGCTTCCTCCCTGGGTTCCCCTCAGGAGGGGGCTGTGTGTGGGGCCCACTGCGTTTCCCTGGCTGCACCAGTGAGTCTTAGGGAGACCAGGGTTTCCCGGGCCAGGGCCTGCTCACCATGCCTGTGATAATTTCTTCACTAATGGCTCAGTCCTGGAGCCCAAGATTCGCTCCCGGGAGAATTCAGAGGCCCTGGATAGTTGCCCCATGGGGACAAGATGGCAGTGGCTGGGGTGGGGCTGGGTTCGTTGTATCTCCTCCCTGGGGTGGCTCTGCACGTGACAGTCAGGCCATAGAACTGTATTTTTCCAGAACCTTGAGTTGGTTTTGGAGAGGGATGGGAGATGAGGCCGTCTGAGCTGGCCTTTTGGAGGTGGTTTAGGTAATTGGTGGGAAGTTCCTCTGGATGGAATGACTGGAGATTTTGTTATTACTCAAGCAAGGACAGAGCCTCATTTGGGAACAGATGTATGGCCATATGGCTCATTTCTCTTCCCTTTCCCTCCCTTCCTACCCTCACGATTTCTCATCTAAGAGCCATCATGACCAGGCTCTGAGCTTAGGACCAGAACCAAGGTCGGTGAGGGTCTAGGATGACCCGGAGGCGTCCGGCTTGGGAAAGTGGGTGGTCATGATGCTGTCCACTGATACGGGGACCGGGGTTTGTTTGGGTGCAGGGAATACAGTGAGGTCAGCTTTGGACATGCTGCGTCCGAGGGTCTAGCGGACTCCTGGGTAGACGTCCAGCAGGTGGTTGGGACTTTGGGGCTGAAGGCAGAAGGGAGACCTGGCCTGGAGAGATGGACCTGAGGGGCCCAGAGTCAGGGAGCAAAGCCACGGTAGCAGAAGGAACGATCCAGATGAGTCATGGGGAGAAAGAGGCTGCAGAAAACCCCATGATACAACCACTGAAGAAAGAGGCACTGTACTTCAGTGTTTCTAAGCAGTGCCCCACAGATTACTTCTTAATTACAGAAGAAATGACGGTGCTGTCCAGGGGACAAGCCCAGCAGCCACCCCCTTAATCACGTGCTCAGAGTTAGCATCAGGGATGCTGGGGCCCTACCGACACCGGGGGTCTCCCAGGAAGATGCGCTAAGAGCCCAACATCACCCGTGACGTTCCTGCCAGAAATGCACAACCTGACTCCAATCACAAGCACGTATCAGGGAAACATACTTTGAGGGACATTCCATCACATCTCTGACCTGTGCCCAAGGTCAAGAAAAACTGAGGGATACCTCTAGCCTAGAGGAAAGAAAAGGCATGCAGCAACTGAATGCAACGGGTTGATCCTGGATTGGATCCCTCACTGGGAAGAGAAGCCTATAAGAAAGACCCGAAATGGAATACTAAGACGATGGCGTATTACCCCATGACCAAAGGAAAGGAGTTCTCGAGCAACAAAGAAACCCGTGCAGGAATCTCAGATGCATGTTATTGAGTGAAAGAAGCCAATCTGAGAAGGCTACGGACTGATTCCAACCGTATGACATTCTGGAAAAGACTAAACTATAATGACAGTAAAAAGATCTGTGGTTGCCAGGGGATGGGTGGGTGGAGCGTGGAGGAGTTTTGCGGGCGGCGAAGCTGTTCCGTGTGACACACCACGGTGGATACGTGCTATCGCACATTTGTCCAAATCCATAGAACGTATGATGCAAAAAGTGAACCCCAGAAAACCCTAAACTATGGGCTTTAGTTAACAGTGATGAGCCAGTGGAGATTCATCGACTGTAACCAATCTATCAGACTGATGC